CAAAAGAAGTCTTCTAAATTAGGGATGGGAAACCTGTGGACCTGCAGATATTGGTGGACTCAACTTCCAGCAGCTCCATGGCCAGTGGTGAAAGTTGTTATCCAACAAGATCTGGAAAGCCATAAGTTCTTCCTCCCTATCCTAAATTCTTCTGTCACAGTAAAATGTGTGAATGTACTGTTCTTTCCATAGATAAGTATGGAGTATTGGGTGTTAATAATTTAGGAGAAGAAAGCTTACTCAGTCTCTATTCACGAAACTGGTACACATTGGCTGCACACCCTAACTAACACCAATTCTTGTATATGGAGACGTTGAAGAATTTGTTACAAGAAGGGGGAATAGATCCAGTTGTATTCAGTTTTACTAATTTTTTGTTCTTTTTTTGTACAGTCTGGAGCAGCCTTTCTCAGCCTTGGGTCCCCAGATGTTTTTGGACTACAACTCCCATCATCCCTGACTACTGGTCCTGCTAGCAAGGAGTGAAGGGAGTTATAGTTCAACAACGTCGGGGGACCCAAGGTTCAGAAAGGCTGGTCTAGAAGGTAAGAAGTGCAGCTGTGTGGCAAATACTGAATTAGCTGGAATTGGTAGTTTTCTACATGGGAAGCTGCCTGTGTATCAAATCAGACCGTTGGTCTATCTAACTCAGTATCGTCTACTGATTTGCGTCAGCTCTCCACGGTTTCAGGCACAAATCTTTCCCAACCATACCTGGAGATGCCAGCAATTAAACGTTGGACCCCTTTCCGTGCTACTGAGCTGCAGCCCTTCTGCTACAGCTCATGCTAGTTGGGTGTAAAATATGTTCAGCTTGTAACTTCTGTCCCTTAATTTGGCTGTCTATCCTTCACTCTTATGTGGTGGCAAAACTCATGAGGGAATAGTTTGATTTATGACATGCAGGGGGCGACCTCATTACTGGTTGGAATGCAGAGAGAATGAGCCCACTTGTTTATATAAGCATAAAGTAATAGAAACATCCCCAGCTGCTGAGACCTTTGCTGTAGTCCAAGAATTTCATATTGGAGTGTGTGTGATGAGTGGCCTCCCCAGGGTAGCGACCTTTATGGTGACCCTCAGTACAAAACAGCAGTAAATTGTTTGCTGCTTCTCAGTCATACTATAAGTAATATGGTTACATTTGCAAATATATGGGACTCATTTCTAAAACTGAACATTTCATGCTTGGTAGAATACTGTGCTGATTTATGAGAATCCTTGTATTTTCAAATTGCCCTGTTTGGCTAAATTTCCTGGTACCAAAGCAGCATACTGAGAGGCAACTTAACTTGTTCTTGCTTTAAGGCTTTATGGTCTACCTTTCCACTCAAAATTCAAAAGGGTCTTACAGTCCAAAGTTGGACAACTGTTAGATGTATCTGCAGGGGTAAAGCTGAAATTCTTACCTGTGGTCTGCCACTGACTACTGTTCCAGTTGATTTGCTCCTTGGCAGACCACCTTAATTTCTTACGTTATTGCTTTTATGTGTGTGGGGTGGTGTTTGTGCTTTTGTCCTGTATTTTTGAATTGTGAACAGTCCTGAGATCTTCTGATGAAGGGTGATATAAATTCAATAAATAATAAAGTAATAATAATGAGGGTCCTTGTGGGACGTGGGTGGCGCTGTGGGTTAAACCACAGAGCCTAGGACTTAACGATCAGAAGGTCGGCGGTTCGAATCCCCGCGACGGGGTGAGCTCCTGTTGCTCAGTCCCTGCTCCTGCCAACCTAGCAGTTTGAAAGCACGTCAAAGTGCAAATAGATAAATAGGTACTGCTATGGCAGGAAGGTAAATGGAGTCTCCGTGCGCTGCTCTGGTTTGCCAGAAGCGGCTTAGTCCTTCTGGCCACATGACCGGAAGCTGTACACCGGCTCCCTCGGCCAATAAAGCGAGATGAGTGCTGCAACCCCAGAGTCGGTCATGACTGGACCTAATGGTCAGGGGTCCCTTTACCTTTTAATGAGGGTCCTAGGTTCAGGTCCCAGTTAATGACATGGCTGTCCAGACTGAGATCTCTTCTCAGTCAGGGTAGGTGAGACTGGGTGAGAGGGACTGATAATCTGACTCTTATTAGAAAGCAGCTTTGTATGTTCCGCATTAAAAAACCCAAACCCTCCTAAGTTCATATCCAATGGTTATTAGTAATAATGGCTATGTTCTCCTCCTACTTTTGGAAACTGTATGCTTCTGAATACCACTTGCTGACACTGCAGAATGGGGGAGAGTACTGTTGTGCCTCAAGTCCTCCTTGTCTGGTTCCCATAAGGTATCAGGTTGTCGGCCACTCTAAAAACAGGCTGTTGGACTAGATGGGCCACTGGCCCAATTCAGCAGTGTCTTTTTCATGTTCTCACTTCAGCCTAAAGAACACATATGTGGCTTGATAGAACTGGGGAAAACTTATCCAATATGTGTTGCACATAGAAAACAGGTTCCCTGCAATGATTGTCCACAGCAGCAGTGGGGAACCTTTTTTCTGTTGGGGGCCACATGGGCTTATTGCTGTGGCTGAGAGCCTTAAAGTTGTTATCATTTGCTATTGTGAGATACAAAGGTGGTCCAAAAACAGCTCAAGAATAATTGGATACAGCTGCTGCCCAAAATATACATGGCAAGATGGGTGGTATACCAGCCATCGTTTGTATGCAAAATTTTCTAAGTGAAACTGCAGATATCCTTCTGCTCTACTGGATCTTCCTTTTCCTTCCCTCCAACATAACACCTTTTCCTAAAACATGTCTATTCATCTTGGATTTCTCCAAGTTCCCAGGCCTTGCCCTTCTTAAACTGCTTTCTTCCAAGGCTTAATGTTTTTCACACCTTGTTTTGTGAGTGAAGGTAGTTGAACTCTTGGCTTTGCATTTCCTGCTCCAAATGCTATTGTTAGCTCAGTTGCTTTGGGTTATTCCTGTATTTACCATCTTTTATTAGCTTTTGCAGAGGCATTGAGCAGCGGTATCTGCAGAGGTGCAAAATACCTTAAGGCTGTTGCATCTTCCATGGCAGTTGCTGGTTTAAGCGTTTGTGGTTTTTTGTAGAAACAGATTAACAATTAACCTGTCTCCACACCAGATCTTGATGCATCAACCAAGGACCGCTGAACATTTTTCTCAGCGCTGTAAACACCGGGAAGACTCCCACGTGCAACCGCTGTAGAAAGCATCCATGTAATGTGTACAACTGCATGTACGATTGTGTGTTCCCCAGAATTTGGCAGAGCGGCTTCTTTAATGAAAGCCTTGCTTTCCATTTGCTTTATTTTTAATAAAGGCTTCAATCCTCCATGCAGCAACAGATTATTTCACTGGAACCTAAGTGCCTGTTTTGAATTAGAATTTCAGCTAAAACCTCTAGGCTTTCATAGTGTCAGGGATTAATACAACCCCTTTGAAGAGATCAAAAGAGAGAATTGGTGTCTCTTGAGCAGCGCATAGTCTCTTACTGGTGGTGCCTTATGTGCCACAGCCCCTGGCCTCACCTACACCTTTCTCTAATCACCCAAAATATTCTGTGAAAATGCAGATATTCTAGCCAGATACCACTAGACAAAAGTAAGTCTCTGAGCACAGGTTGCATACTCAACATTACAAAAATTCTAGGTAGTTGTGTTGGTCCACTAGGGAGAAAAAAATAAGAACTTACAATAGGCTATTGATTTTATTAGTATTTTGATTAAGACCTTCACAATTTGACAAGATAGTGAGCAAGCTTTCAAGTTCTCCAGAACTCTTCTGGGCACGATGTTGGAAGTCCCAAAGTATGCAGTTCTCAAGAACGTTATTCTTTATATATTTAACAAAACGGTCGGGGTAGATCAGGCATGTCCAAAGTCCGTTTCGGGGGCCTAATGCGGCCCACTGGTCGGTTTAATCCGGCCCCTGTGGCAGTTTATTTCCTGGGGTAAAATTCCAAAAAACACCCCTCCACAACTCTTCAATCCTAAAAAAAGTTCCACAACTTCATAAAAAAAGCTCAACAATTTCAGTCTTATAATAAAAAAGCTCAACAACTTTGGCTGGCCCTTTGGTCGCCCCTCACGGCCCTTCACTTCATCAAATCTGGCCCTCTTTGAAAGAAGTTTGGACACCACTAGTGTAGATAAAGCTGAGTGATATTTTCTGTCCCTCAGGGAAGGGGAACCTTTTTCATCCTGAGGGGTCTCCCTCCCTCCTGGGCAACCAGTGGTAGGTGGGGCCAGAGGCAAAAGTAGGTGGAGCAATGCAGGTGGATGCTACTTTAATATAGTAGGCTACATTCCACCCATGCAGATGCAAGAGGCTTCTGCATGCAGACACATCTCTAACCCTGGTTCATATTCCAGTCACATGCAACCACTTAAGGAGGTCGTGAAGCGGACTCAGTAAGGGCTGTGGTTTGGCTGTGGCCAAGAGAGAGTCCCAAGCACTAGATTTTCGGTTCCTCACTCCTTTCCTACCCTTTTCACTTGCTGCTTACGGGTTGAGTGTGGATCCTAATCCTGGTTTATATACCCTGGTTGACCACTGTGACAACAAGGTGGTGGACTAGATGGCTTGATCTGGCAGGTTGTTCTTATGCTTAGCAATTTGTATGTGTCAGGATGGTGCAGCTTTGGAATAAATAACGCTGAACAACATAATGTTGTGGTCTTGTGCATGCGACACTGCTGTTTCTTTTGACACAGAAAAAACTTAATTCTATTTAGTCTCATGAGAATAGTTGAACTCCCTCTTCCTCTCTCCCCCTCGTTCATTTAATATGAGACTGGTGTGAAAACAGATCCCAGTCAGGGTTGCCAACCAATCTGGGAAGCTGGGAGAGTCCCTAGAATTGATCTTTTAAAATGCTTATCTGCTGTGTTATCGCTCAACTGTTGCCCGACTTCTGGTGCGCTCTTTTCCGCTTCTAGTCAGAGAAAATCGACCTGAAATATGCAAGTTATTTCAGTTTTCCTCGTGTGGAATGTTCTAGCTAGGTTGCACGTGATCCTTATCAAATCTTCTTGTTCTTCCTTAGGTTTAGGGGCCAAGCGGTTAAAGAGGAAAATGAGAAGATTTTTGAGACCTGGACATGACCCAATAAGAGAGAGGCTCAAGCGTGACCTTTTCCAGTTTAACAAGGTAAGTTTTGGCCCTGAATGCAGCCTAAGTGGAAACTAGTATGAACGCTTTTAAAGAGCAGCCTGCCTAGACAGGCTGGAAGGTGTGAGATCGCTTGGCGTTGTGTGGGACAATCCTTCCTCGGCCTTCAGGTTAGCACAGAGCATGCGACTAAACAAATATTTGGTAAACTGGTGTGGGGCTTGCCAACAATGTCCTTTTTATGTATGTATGTGCCTTAAGCTAACAAATTATTTCCTGAGTTCCAGATGGACGTTCAGATCCTGTGGCATGCATTTATTTATTTATTTATTTATTAAGGCAGAGAGGGCCTTTATCTCTTGTTTAGCAGTATTTTCTCCTTTGAGGAGTTAAATGGGAGCTATTTTGGTTTGGTTATAGCACTGCCATTAAATAAACATGTATGGGGCTGTGTACAATTCTCGGGCTTACATGCACTTCCGTATGCTTCGATGTGGTTGGGAGGAGTGTTAGAATATGCTTCTTTTAAAAGCTTAAAATCAGTCTCTGTGTGCTGCCGATCGCTGAGGTAAAAACTGTGAAAAAGTGCTGTGTGTTGTGTTCTTCCTTTGGCAGCAGGTGTGTTATGAGCCAGCACTTTAATTGCTAAACCACGGTAACAGTAAACGGATCTCTGTTAGGATGTACAGAAGCTTGACCTTCAGCTAACATTTTGCTGCTTCTAATCTTCCATCGCAAAGTGGTGTAACTATCGGCTCAGATGTAGTAAAAAATTTATAGAATTTGTGTGGTGCGTATCGTATCCTGCAAACTCTTTTACGGGTGGTTTATTGGTGTGTGTGTGTGTGTGTTTTGCAAGTGCGCAAGTAGTAATTTGGCATTCATGAAAAGGAGTGTCATGTGGATAAAAGGATGGTGTTGGGGGGGGGGGGACAGGAGGAAGGGTATGTAGGGCTTGATTGCCGTGTTTAGCAGTGGCAACCGTAGCTGGACATGATTGCTGCATGCATTTTGTAAATGCTGGGGACAGCTAAGATGACTTGATTGCTCAGTTGGATGCCACACCAAAGCACTCCTAGCTTTTAAGAGGTTGAAGCTTTGCTTTTGTTGCATTTTGGGATCGGTAGCTTGAGACACTTCTGTGTTGGAGTGTGTGTGTTTTTTCATGCGTTGAAACTATAATCTAAATAACACCCATGAATAGCCCACCTTGGAAATCCTGGACAGTAACCAAGTGCCAGAATCAGCACATTGAAAGGTTCATTGTTGGCATCTGAACCCCATTTGCCATTATCCTAGGAGTGCTGTTCACACTTTGATCTGTTAAAGTGTGAACTAGGTGTGTAGGAAGTGTGTCTGTTTAGGCCCTTTTTTCATATTGCTGTACCACATGGGTAGGCAAACTAAGCCCTGGGGGCTGGATCCGGCCCAATTGCCTTCTAAATCCGGCCTGCAGACAGTCTGGGAATCAGGGTGTTTTTACATGTGTATTTAAAATGCACCTCTGGGTTATTTGTGGGGCATAGAAATTTGTTCATTCCCCCCTCCCCACAAATATAGACCACCCCCCCACAAGATCTGAGGGACAGTGGACCAGCACCCTGCTGAAAAAGTTTGCTGACCCCTGCTCTACTGCTTAAACTGAAATCCGCAAACATTACATTTTCATCAGGTGTCCTGTTAATCTATTCTCAATTTCTCTGGTGTATGTTGCGTATATTCGCCAAAGCAATAAGATTTGGTGGCAGGAAAAACAGACAGCTTGCTTAAAAAAAAAAAAAGCCAGATGCTTGCAATTCATGTACAACTTGAACATATCCCCTTTAAAAATCTGTGCATGAAATGGGGAAAGGGAACAATTTATAACTTTGGTGTCATTCGCCTGTGATAGACTTTCCAGTGTTTTTCAAGGTAAGATTAAATACTTTGCAGTGCTGGAGTGCCTTGCATAGTTAACCATTTACTCAGCCCCATATCTCCAGAGCAGGTACTAACTTACCTGTTCTTAATTAACTATTTGTGTTCCATATGGGAAAGTGTTTTTCTGGGTGGTGTGCTGCCTAGATGGAGTGTTTGCTTGTGAAGGACCCTTGTAGGTAGTGTAAAACTGTCAGATTAATTGACATTTTAATGGGAAAAGTTCCAGAACCCGGTAATTTAAAGCATATTAAATCTAATATTCAAATTTTCAGCGTCTTAGTGAAGGTGGTAGAAAAGCCCATTAACCTACAATCTTAGGGATATGTTCAGCTCACTGTGTGGAGTAATTCAGTAATGACTCAGTAGAATGCCACTTTCTCAATGAGTTCATCAAACCTTCTTGATGATGAGAAACCGCTCTTTCCATTTTTAATTGGCAAGATTTGTGTGTGCGCACATGCACATTGCTTAGAAACCTTTTTATTGTCTCATTCCCCCCCCTTTTTTTTTACTATAGGTTGCATTCAGCTAACTTTTGCCTAGAGTTAACACATTGAAGCTATTGTACAAATGGGAGGTTGAGGTGTAATTAGGGATGTTTACTTTGGGGTGCATAGTTCATGTGTGGGGCTTTTAAGACAGGAAATGGTGCCTTTCATAATTATGTAAACCAACCATTTCTAAGGCTTGTGCCTCTTCCTGCACCAGCATAAGTCTATCCTACTCTAATGATAGAAACCTTCTATCCTAAACTGCTGGAATGCTCTGTCTGCCCCTCCTTTGCTGTGAAATCTCATCCACCCACGTAGTGCAGCCAAATTCATGGCATTTCTAAGTCAAATCCATGCCCTCGATGACTCATTAGTAGTGACACAATGCTGGCAACTTTTGTGTGAGCATGCATGTACATTGTCTAAGCAGTTCGGTCCTTGCTCAGTTCTAGAATTATTATTTTCCAGGTTGGCTGGGAAGCCGGTATAAAATCTTGGCTGGTATGGAAACACTGGGTTTCCACTGTTCTACTGCACCTGCAAAGGCTGAACTTGTAGATGTGGCTGTCAGTGCAGTGTGTGGGTATAGCCACAAGCTGTTCTTAATTGTTTCTGGGATTTCCCAACCCCCTCTTCTGGGACTTTGGTTCATGCAGTACATCAAAAGCAGTTTCTCTGTCTATGTATATTGAATAGCATGACGAGGGAAGTGATAACTTACTGAGTGCAATTTTAGCGTCTTAAAAAAAAAAAAGAAGTTGTCAGACTCTATGGCATGTTTGTCTACAGAACAGAGTGGAAAACAGAACTTCCTGATTGTAGATTCTGCTTTTCAGCGTTTAGCCCTCAAAGTGGCTCTTGCGGAGGGAGACAATTTAGCTGGAACAGAAGCAGGTGTCTGGTGGTGGTGTCTTTGCCTCCTTCACTCTCCTCTGCATCCCTTGTGGCTGGGTAGTCTGTTGGTTCACCCTGTGTCAGGGGAAGAGGATATATTATTGGTAACCCTTGGCTTCTGAACGGAGAGACAAAAGCTAGTTGGAATTTTCCCTTGTGCAGCACTTAACTGTTGGGCGGTTCAACAGTTCAACAAATCCAACATTGCAGGGGTCAGGCAACCTGGCTTGGCTTATCCCGAGAATAAATTCCCCAGTCTTTCAACAGTTCCTTCTTGCAAGGTGTCTGCTCTCTGGGTACAATTTCAAGTGCCACCCATGCTGGATTAGGCACTCCACCCTGGTTTTGAAATAGTGTAATAATAGAATTGTGGAGGAAAGGAAAGAGGTGGTGCATAGCACAAGGTTTGTGGGGGTGGGGGTGGACTGGGGAGGAGAAATCCTGAGCAAGTGTAAGGAAAACAGTACAGTGGTACCTCGGGTTAAGTACTTAATTCGTTCCGGAGGTCCGTTCTTAACCTGAAGCACCACTTTAGCTAATGGGGCCTCCTGCTGCCGCCGCGCCGCCGGAGCACGATTTCTGTTCTCATCCTGAAGCAAAGTTCTTAACCCGAGGTACTATTTCTGGGTTAGCGGAGTCTGTCACCTGAAGCGTATGTAACCTGAAGCGTATGTAACCCGAGGTACCACTGTATACTTTAGTAAAGACATTACTTTTCAGATCTGAAACCATTATTAAGGGGCAATGCTCCTTATATCATTATTTCACAGAGTGGCTCTTCTAGTGGTGTCTTCTCTCTTATTTCAACCCACCCCCACCCCCCGTTTTTAAAAATATTTTTAACCCTCCTCCTGCTGGACAGTAGATAGAGGCTGTGCAATAAGGACTGGGGTTTATGATGGCAGCGAGGGAGCTATGATATCCACATCCAAGAACGTTTGGGGTGGATATGCAGGTGCTCCAAGAGACTGAGCTATGAATCATAAAGTCCCCGGTTCAAATCTTGCCTCTGCTAGGAACTCACAAAGTGGCTTTAGGCAAGCTGCTCTCTTGGCTTCAGTCTCTGCATCTGCAATACAGGGGATAATAATACAGACATGTAGACTTGTTGCTTTTTGTTAAGTTTTAAAACTGGATCGTGTCAGTGAAGCGCTTTGAACACTTAAGACTTCATATTGTTTTAAGTATCACATGGGAACAGGCTCTTGGTGGTTTTCAGCAGATGCACAGTATAACATTGAGCCTCCAAGCCTTTCGAATTGCATCAGATCCAAGGGTTAGGATTGGTGGATTCTCTCACTGCTGTTCCCATGTATTACTACTGCAGCAGGGAAGGAATGCTTTGAAACTGAACCTCCCCCCTCCTGCCCCAAATGGCATGACCTCTTGCCCTTCCAGTTGCAGTGGTAGTCCTGTTGAGGCCATTTCCCACTTCGAACCAAATCTAGCCCTTCCAACATTCTCTGCCTTTTTTCCTTTTCCCCCTTTTTTCTTTTTGCTATTCTACAGAAAAGTCTTAAAACCTGCTGACTTTCAGGTTGTCTTTAAAAATAAAAGAGACATACTAAACGCCTTGTTAATGCAGCTCCTAAAAGCCAGCATTTTATTTGCAGTGTTGGCAATCTGGAGTGCTGTCCAACCTTGGTTTAAAACAGGCACCCCGAAACTCGGCCCTCCAGATGTTTTGGGACTACGATTCCCATAATCCCTGACCCACTGGTCCTGTTAGCTAGG